GGTGGCGTATGGGTGAGATGGCGTATGGGTGAGATGGCGTATGGGTGAGATGGGGTATGGGTGAGATGGGGTATGGGTGAGGTGGCGTATGGGTGAGATGGCGTATGGGTGAGATGGCGTATGGGTGAGATGGGGTACGGGTGAGATGGGGTACGAGTGAGATGGGATGAGAACCAGCGGAGTAAATCAATACCATCTGAGAGGAGATGGAGACGTATCGTAGACACCCTGGAGGGGTGTGTTAGCTAGTGGCCCATCACTTAACCCATGGAGGGGAGTGTTAGCTAGTGGCCCATCAATTAACCCATGGAGGGGAGTGTTAGCTAGTGGCCCATCAATTAACCCCTGGACATCCTCAGATTTCATATTACAGGAAGGTGTGGGGAGGTGGGGTTAGTCTTGTGTTCGGGTGAGGGTGTGGGGGGAACTCTGGTTTTATAAAATTAGAAATTATTTTCTATGATAAGGATAATATAACTAACAGTAAAATGGATTGATTCTAAATGGATGTATGGATGAGTGAGTGAATGTATAATTGAGTGGGTGTATGGATGAGTGTATGCATGGATAAATGGATGAATAAATTAATGGATGAGTGAATAAATGGATAATTGGATGAATGGATGGATAAATGAATGGATGAATGGATGACTTGATAGGTTGATGGATAGGTGGACAGTAGGACAATAGACCAGTGGGGAAAATGGATAATAGAAGAAAGGATGGATGGATCGGAGAAATCGGATATGATCTTATGAGATGGAATTCGATGGAATGGGATCAGATAGTATACGATTTGACACTATGGCTAAATGATGCATGCGCTTAGCTCTGTCTATTCATGCTTAAAAGAAAGCTTATTGGCTAAAAAGTGTGAAGTCAACGTTCGTATCTTTATTATCTTATACATCGTAGATAACTTTCCCATACAGTACATCTAAATCGAAAACAACTTTCTCATACAGTCCATCTATCCTCAGACAATCTGACTTTACAATGAGCCCTCCAACACCATCTAGATCCCAACACAATGATGATTAAAAAAAATAAACGTGTGCCCAACACGTTTCGCCCACGCGTGTACGTAAACACGCATACATCTCCCCCCCCCGCCTCCCGACACCTCCCATCCCCGACACCGCCACCTCCCCCCACCCCCTCCACTTCCTCACAGGTCGAAGTCTACAGTAGTCGCTATGACCCCAGAATAAATGATCAGCTTTCTGCCCGTAGGCCCAATCGCGCGTGATCTTATCTCCCCCCCCCCCCCCCATCCCCAATACCCCATCTCTATCCATATAATTACTGAATATTGAGTGAAACTGATGACTTATCTGACTTTACAGTCTGTGGACTGCTCACACTTTCGTTTGACCTACACTACGCCACAGGGGTGAGTTAACATTCAACTACACGTGTTTTAACCATGAAAAGGATTTTAAAAATAACAGTTGGGTTTGACGTACAATTGACGTAAAACAGAATTCGGCTTGATTGTGTACTATTACTAGACACTTTTGACATTAGTATTTACTCAAAGGTCTAAAGCCATGACCAGTGTTTCTTCCAGAGAAAGTCTACCGCCCTCCCCCCCCCCCTCCCCAACGAAATGGAATTAATATAGAAAATATATACTTTTACCAGTGTCCGCCCTTCCGGAAAATGTAGTCCCCCCCCTCCCGTAAATATCAAGTACCCCTCCTTCCCCGGAGAAAAAAAGTCTGGAAGAAACACTGGCCTTGACCTTGACATGTAGATAATAAACCTTGACCTTCCAAAAATACATTGAATCTGACCGTCCCACACATATCTTGACCTTGACCTTTCCTTAAAATCCCACCTCCCCTTCAGATCCCCCATTTCTCTCTGCTAATTAAATTGAAGAAAATGGATTGTAAAACCTCAACCAAATAAACACGCCAAAATCCAAGCTATTTCATGCACGCCAAACTAATTAACCAATTTGTTTTTACATTTAATTTAATGAGTTTAATCCAGACCATTAAACCAAATGTCCCACTAAAACCGCTGATACAGCACTTTGTTTTTGGATACTTCAATCAAAGGTTCCATTTTTTTCTCTGTAGAAAACTCACACGAGCTAGATATAATATTTACTCGCATTCCTAGATAGGTTAAAAACTACTGTCATTTACATTTTGTTTAATAAAGACATGAAAAAGATAACTGCATTTTTTTTTGTTCGATATATTTAATCTCTACCCCTTGACATTTCATGTTTCCTGTTGTAGTTCTGTTTAGTTTTTTTTTTTTTTTTTTGGTAAGTTTAAATATCTCAAGGGAAGCTAAAAAAAAATTCATCTCAAGACAAAATGTTGCGAGTTATCCTCCCATAGCACTAGATAAAACCTGGTTCATTGCCCAGGGTTTCTTTAATTAAACTTTTGTGCACTTAAAATTTAGAATAGAAACTCCGATATTGGATCTTTGTTCCTGTTGGAAGCACACACGTCTGGTACATAGGGGAGTTGCGGTTCTTGGGGTTTTAAACTTCACTGGGCCCAATTTTGGACTGCATGAGGAAGTAATGTTGCCAGAATTCCTTCTTGTGTAATGTTATTAATGATTGGATTTAAACGCGGACTGTATAATTTTGAAAGAGTTTTTTTTTTCCTAGGTGAAGTGATGTGATTAATGGATGGTCCAGTTTTGGCCATTGCGAAATACTTTAACTACACGTTTGAACTTTAGCTAAACGACCGATCACCGTTTGTTAAAATCAAGTGTAGTGACATTTCTGCAACTGGCTAATAAATACATAAATGGCAAAACTGTGACAACGCAAAAACGGACAGCATATTGCATGGCGAAAGGTTGAACATCCAAGGGATCTACGTACAATTCTTGAAGTACACTTTTTTCCTAGGGCCTTTTGCCCGAATAGACACTTGCTCAAATGTGACAAACACCTGAATGGACACTTGCCCAAGCACGACAAATGTCCACATGGACACTAGCCCGAATGGGACAAACACCCGAATGCACACTTGTCCAAATGGACAAATTCCCGAATGGACAAATTCTTGAATGGACAAATTCCCGAATGGACGCTAGCCCGAATGGACGCTAGCCCGAATGGACGCTAGCCCGAATGGACGCTAGCCCGAATGGACGCTAGCCCGAATGGACGCTAGCCCGAATGGACGCTAGCCCGAATGGACGCTAGCCCGAATAGACATCTGCCCGCATGGGACAAAAACCCGAATGGACACTTGCCCGTGCGCGACAAATGCCCAATGGACACTTGCTAGCGTCAATTAGGGACAACTGCATTCGGGAAATCTGCTTTCTGGCAGCGTATTTCGGGAAAACGTCCGGCACCCCCATCCAAAAACGGATACTAGAGGGAAATAAGTTATCAAAAGCCATTATTGCCTTGACGGTGAAAGGGTATTAATATATTTTTTTAAAAGCAAATGGCGATTATTCTGCTTTTACATCTAATCTTCTTTAGTTTTAGAAGTCATTTTTTCTTAAATCATAACTAATTTCGGCTTTAAGATACAAGTTAAAAACTCAATTATAGTCAAAAATGTCATTGTGAGAAATGCCATTCTAAGTAATGTTTTAGGTTAGATTTATCTTTGATTGTAAACTATACTTGAGTTTCATACCGACTAAACATTGACTACATTTCGTCAAACGAACCCGGGAATATGGCGTCTCAGTTTCAACCAATCACATTGCCTCTCATCTGGTCGACGTCTGCCTTACGTCTGGCCAAATATTTGCCTTCATTATCCCGCCTTGGCTTGATGAAACACAAACATTGCCCCACGGGGGCCAAAATGTCGTCACCCTGGCGACAAGGAAGGTTCTAGAAAACACAAAACACCTGCAATAACAGGAGACACTGTTGTTTTAATCCAACATTCTAGAGCTCCAGGTTATGGGTGCCCTAGCAGCCAGCGAACTTAGCAATCTAAGGGCACTAAACTATGATGCGGTCGGCCATTCACCCTATTTAGTAATTCCCCCGCGTACATTCGTTTTAATAAATAGCGCACACAAAAATGACAACTCTCATATAATTAACTAACACGCATATTCACAATCATCATTCATCATTCATCATTGTTCCCAAGAGACATGGAACAGATTAAGTAGTTCTTCTGTTTCAATAGATTTGGTCAGCACTGTGACCATCCGTTTTTGTTTCCCTAGCGTGTGTTAGGTACCCATCCGAGCTGGGTGGACTCAGGGAAGTTCTACGTATTTGAACCCGGATTATAACTCGAGACTTTCGAGATAGCAGTTAGCTCTCTACCGCTTGGCCACGCCGTCCTATGTTAACAATCATTCTCACTCACCAATGATTACAAATTGTATTCGCAAGCAACTCAAACAAGCCCACACAATCTGCTTATAAAATTTACAAGAACACTTGGTAACACATGACAATGCGATAAAACATTTCGCATGCGTCTAAAAAATACAGCAAATCACCGGTTTACCGACTATCAAAACTAAATAAGAATAGCTAAATTATGAACGTGAACTTAAATGTTAAGGAATATTCTCTTCGTGAAGCTGCGTGTAAGTGTTTGTAAACCTTGTTTATCGTGATGTAGCTTATAATTAGATTATTTTAAGGGCCTATACATTTTTTTTCCTCCATGGAGCAAGTGTTGTTTTTTGTATGACGTTAAGCCTTCAAAGGCTATGACTATGCACAGCCATAGTGGCATTTCCTTTGTATATTATTGGGCGCTCTGCTGACTTAAAAGCGGATTCGAACTCGATACTTTCGGGTTAGCAGTCTATCGATCTACCTCTAGGCCACGCCGATCCCTACATTTTTCTGTACTACACGATAAGTTGACCGAGAGCTTCGGGGTTGTAATAGTTACTAAAATACCTATCTCTGTTGATTTTTTCCAACTGCATTTTTATGAACATGTATTTACACTTAATTTTTCAAAGAACATAAAGTCGCCATGTTTTGATTATTCTAACAACGGGCTAATTATATTTCACAGGCACAACGACAGCTACTCCTGCAAGCAGATAGAGCTGGGCGGGGCAGAGGATATGTTCAGCTCCATCTACCCGCCCCGCCCCGTGAACGCCGTCATCACCATGTTGGCCTGCTTCAGCGTGCTGGGGTTGATCGGGAATTCCCTGGTGCTCTACGTCTACGTCAGGAAGCGGAACAAACTCTCCTCCACCGTCTTCATCATCGCCCTAGCCGCCACGGACCTCGTCACGTCCGCAGTCAGCATGCCTTACACCATGGTCGTCGAGAGCCTCAACTACACCGTCTCGCTTGACTTCTCCTGTAAGCTGTACTACTTCTTCATCACCTGCACGGTTCCGTTCTCCGTCTTCATCATGGTTGCCATAGCAATAGACAGGTACATCTGCATCTGCCGGCCCCATTCCCACGTCCTGGACTCGGTACGAGCGAGAAACTGCGTCATTTGTTTACTATTTCTGGCGATAATCATGGGAATCGTGACGGCCATGTCTATGGGTGTTTACGTGGATATGGATACGTTGCGAACCCCAACGATAAAAAACATGATCAAAAACAACTTCGCGGAGGAGAATTTCACAACCTTGCTGAAGAGGATTGAAGATGAATCCTGTCCGGAATGCGTGAATACTTCCTTCATAGATGAAGACACCATGTCGCGTTTAGTCGCCAATTTAGTCGCGCTGCATTTAAAAGTCTGCAGCCGTGTGATGCCGACTAACGAGACGTTCGTCTACACCGGGAAGTGCATGCCCAACCAGATGTACGTCTCCGAACACTTCCGGCGGCAGTACCAGACGTTCTACTCCTCCAGTTTCCTCGTCTGCTTCTTCGTCGTCTTCGTCTTGTATATTTTAATCTACCGCTCCGTCTTGGTACGGCGCTCGCGTCGTTTAGCCGCCAGAACCAAGACGACGATAACACACACACAAGACGTGTCCTTGACCGAAAACCAGAGCATGCTGAACGACTCGCCCGACAAGAGCATCGCGTTAGCTGAGATCACAAACGGCAAGAAAGACGCGGGATCTCAGAAAAAACGCCCCCAGCCTCAATCCCAGAACCAGTCTCTGCTCCAGAAAGACCAAGCCCAACACGATATCGAAGAAGGCGCGCAGACAGCGGCGGAGAACGGATGTCTCCGGGATAAATACTTTCTCGCCAATTTCAGAACCGCGGTCATGTTGTTTGTGGTGACGATTTTTTTCGTCATCGCTTATCTCCCTTCGTGGTTGATCGCCTACAAGGTGCTGAAGTTCAACGTGCTGGTGTTTTACGTCTACTTCAGCAACCACATCGTCAACCCCATCATCTACGCCTTCATGAACCCCGCCTTTAGGAGATCGTTAAAGGGGTTGCTGTGTAGGAAGCGGGGGAGGGGAATGTGAACGGTTGACGCCATGGCCTTGTACTAAAATATCTTCTGATCCTAGCCGCAAAATAGATTTAAGTGTGATTCGAAGTTCAGAGAAGTTCGAAAAATAAATCGCAGAATCAAACACTCAACCGATGATCCAAAAAATGAATCCGAGATTCAATCCTTCAGCGCATGTTCGAAGAGTGAATCCTAGATTCAATCAGTAAACCGATGATCGAACTATGAATGCAAGATCATTTAGCGCGTGTTCGAACAATGAATCCAAGATATTTCATTCAGCGCATGTTCGAATAATGAAACCAAGATTCAATTATTCAGCGCATGTTCGAAGAATGCATCCAAGACATTCACACCGTCAAAGTGCCATATTTAACTCTGAACAGACTTTACTGATTCCAAATTGGTGCACAACATCGTTTAATTCAAACTTGTATTCAGCTGCTAAAAACACAGCCCCGTACCATTTGGAATAAGATATCTCTAAGGCTTATTTCTTTCGGTTTGCGTATATCTTATTCATTTAAAACTCAAACTTTGAAACTGTTTACATGTTGTACAGTTATACTCATCGCACATGTACGTGTACAGTGAATAATATCACATTGTTTAAAAGAGTAACAGAAGGGGAAAAATGTAATGGATTTTACTTAAAAACAGCGATATGAAAATAAAAGGTTTTATAAGAGAAGTGACCTTGACGTGTGCGCTTTCTAATGGAGTACTTAGATATAAGTTTGAGGTTTTGCCTTCTGAATTTTTAACCATCTACATACAGTTTAATAATTGGAACTAAGTTCATATTTGAATGACGTCTGTTGATATGACGGAAGCTCCTGGTATAAAACTACATAGGTTATTGTGTTGTTTATTTACAGTGTGTATGTTTATGTGATCATCATTTCTAGAAACACTGGCCAAACGTGGGTGTTGTGTCAATATTCTGATACACTTAAAACACATGAAGTGAATATCGAGCTCATGTTTAAGTTTAGGGATCTACAATTCTGTTATTTTCAGGGTTTTTGGGAATTTTATGGTTTTCGTGGTTTTGGTAATTAAATTTACAAGATCGGATTAGGTTGGTTGTTCAGACATTCAATGCATAAATGTATACATATACATATATTGAAGCTCAAAATTTTAAAGTTCGCCCTACATAAATACAAATGTATATCTAATAATAGCTCCTAAGCAAATAATTACACCATAACATGTGGGTGGGGTATTATATAATCAACAGTTAGCACTTATATAACATGATTGGGTTTCAAGAGGCATATAAATATAATTATACATCATTTAATTCATATAAATGTATTAATATGATTGTTACACATTGATTTTTACCCCTACCTTTTTTTTAATAAAACAAAGCTCTGTATTTTTATTTAGAGGGGACCAAATGTAAAGATGTTATTTTATATTAAGAATAATTTACTAAAAAAAATGTATCAGATATTAGGAACTAAAAAATAAAAAGACCAAAAGGAAATGGAAAACTCTACATGTAAGAAAATGAGCAGCTAGATTATATTTTATATCCATGTTTGTTTCTAACCAATGGCAATTATCGTTACATTTCTTGAATGACAGCGAGAGGCTACCAAAAGAATTTGTTGTTCAATATGTTGACATTTTCACATCAGATGTCGTCTATTTCAATTCGTATTTGACGTTATGTTTGTACATTTAAAAAAAAACAACTTAATTACGATGTCTTAATTAAGAATATAATTGTTCGTGGATCTTTATATGTACAATATTGTCATAAATTTAATTTATTAAAGCAATAAATTAGTGCTACAGACATTGAAAAGTTTTGAGACAAAACCCATGACGTCATCGCGAGGAGATCAACACAGAAATTGAGTGATAGGTCGTTAGCTATTTTTGAAGAGATGATGAAGTTAATGGCATTGACAAAACACGAGGGTATGGGAACGATGATATTATGATGTGATGAGATGTTATTGAAAGTAAGAGCCTAGTTTGACTTTTGCCTTTTTTTCTAGCTAAAACTCATTTTCAGACGCCAATTTTACAGCTTTTAGTCCTGATCATATTGATTTGTTCTCTGAATCCATTTAAATATTTCTAACTTCAAATGAGATGAATACTTGTCATAAAAATACATTGTAGGAGAAATTTGTTTAATATGTGCTTAGCAAATAAAACAACAAACATTGCTATAGGTACGTTTTGTTTTGTTTTAGTGTTAAGCAGTGTGTGAAATTACGTGTGTGTGTGGGGGGGGGGGGGGGGGGTTAATATATTTAACGGCTATGTGTTGACTCGTATAGTCCTACGTTGTATTCTTTTTACTTATCTTAGACCTATATAGCATCTATTACACCATGAAGCGATACTTATCGAATAATTAGCACAGGCCACATAATGATAAACCGTTACACCTTTAATTGATGAGTCAACAGTTCCATAATTAAATAATTAATGAGTCATTAGATTAAGTGATAAAAATATTTTTTACACAGCAGGCAAGCAGTTCACAAAGTCTAAAATGTAGAACTCGAGGCTAAAATAACTTGTGAACATTTTTTTTATACAAAACTGAGTTTAGGAATTTGAGTTTGGCTATTAAACATATTGTTTTAATTGTATGCGTTTGTTTGAAAGAGGCAGTTAAAAAGACTTCACTATTAGCATGTTTACACCTACAGTATAATTGTGCTGAAGTGGATCCCGGGCCTCTACCAGATACAAGGAAATGAGATCGCTAAACCAGCTAGGGAAAATCGGGGGAAAGAAAAAAACAACCAGAAATCTCGCTACATACACAAGAAATCAATCATTAAAAACAAATCACAAATGTGGTCTTAGACGCACCTAAACTACAAAAAAGACGAAGGATTTTACAAATTAAAACAACAATACATTATCTTCAGACCAGTGTTTCTTCCAGACTTTTTTCACCGGGGGGGGGGGGGGGCATTTGAAATTTTCGGGGGGGGGGGGCAGTAGACTTTCTTCGGGGGGGGGGGGCGGACACTGTTAAAAGTATATATTTTCTATATAAATTATATAAATTTCATTTCGTTCGGGCAAAGCCCCCCCCCCCCCCCGAAGAGATGCCTGGAAGATACTCTGCTTCAGACTTCAGAAACTCTGCTTCAGACCCAGAGCAGGCCACAACAGACCGAAACAGCACATGTATAAAAAACTAAAAGTTGGGTATGTCGAAACTTGCCCATCTGACATGGCCCCGGAGAATACAGAGCACGTCCTTCAGGACTGTTTCTTGTACAACCAGGCGCGATCCAAACACTGGCCCCTACACACCCCACTCAAGGAAAAACTATATGGGGCACCCGCTGATCTGGAGACCACAGTCCAGTTCATACATGAAGTTGGACTTGCTTTAAATCCTCTAAAATAAACTCAATTAAGAACGCAGATGAAGCAGAAATGAAGTATGTGTACACAAGATTAAATCATATAGGAATAACGACCACTACTTTGTTTTAAGTTTCATAAAAGTGTGACTTCACTACCTTTAGTACTAGGCTCGACAAAATTAGCACTCACGTGATTTGTATATCGACGAATCAATGTGTTTATATATCTGACACATACATCTACTGTATGGCTCTTTGTAATGGCCGGTTAGAGGACATATCGACTGTATATAGGACAAATGCAGAATGTCCGAAAAAAACATAATCTCGAGAAAAATCAGTGTATAAATATGATTCAAATATTAAAATCGTACAAAATATTAAATTAAAACGTTAAAAAACAATCTGCATTCTATTTGTCTGATATTTTACTTGAGTGATCTGGTAGCTGGTATTATTGACACTATACGTATACAAGTCCATTGATTTCACAAATACGTGGACGTAATGCATTTGTCTTCTAAACAGTCGGTGCTATAAATAACTTAGTGACAGACAGAACGGTGTTTTAATAATGTATTTAGAAAAACCAAAATAGAAGAACTTTTCGAATATATTAGTGCTCTTCCTGTTACACGGTATTCTATTTTAAGCAGAACAATTCCACTATCAAATTACATTCACATTGCTATGTATCTTCGTTGGTCGTCGTCTTCACTGGCAATACTAGTGCGCTGCCGACATTTCTATACAAATTATTTCCATAAAATCGTTTGGCTTCAGCGGAAGGCCTAGAAATCAAAGCCGACACCTTGAAAGGAAATTTTTGTCTTCATTTCTGTCTGTCCTTCTGTCTCATTGTGTGGGCCGTGGAAATGGTGACAAAAGGTTGGGGGTGGGGGAGTGGGAGGGTGTGTGTGTGGGGGGGGGGGGGTTACAAGGACGTGGCGCGGTGATTGGGAGACAAAAGCTCAACAAGGATGAAAGGCGAGGTCTGCTGGGTCTGATGGGTCTGGTGGGTCTTGGGTCAAGGTTGTTGTTGGATTAGACTGACACGACACCGACAAGTTCGGGGGGGGGGACGACCGTGACGGTGTCGTTGTCTGCCGGGGATGAGGTGGGAATTAGACGTGGGGGGGGGGGGGAATCACGAGTGTCTTAAGATATGTAGGGGTGGGCGGGATTCAGGAATCCTAAGACTTGTAAGGGCGATCTCGGGAATCTTATGAATATTTAGGGGTGGGGGGACGGGACTTGGGAATCCTAAGAAGTGTGGGGGGTAGATATCGGGAATCATAAGATGTCTTGGGAATGAGGGCGGGATTTGGGAATCAAAAGACATGTGAGGGGATGGGCAGAACTTTGGAATCAGAGTGTTTGGGGTGTGGGGAACTGGATTCGATAACCCTAAGGGTGTGGAGTGGGTGGGGGGGGGGGGCGAAACTCCTATGACTTGTGGTTGAGGCGGGGATGTCGGGAATCCTGAGACGTATGGGGGGGTGGGGGCTGGACTTATGAATCATACTGAGATCTTCAAAACAAACGTGAGTAGTGTGAAAAGTGTCATAATGACTTTAACAGGTAGTAGTTCATGGGATCGTTCGTATAATTATGACGTCAAGCTCGATTTTGAAAGTATACGACAATTTCGACACAGTTTTGACAATATCTAGCAATAGGACGCAGGGAGAGGGAACGATTCCATTAAAAAATGTATAGAAAATATAAATCTTGATAAACACTCTTTAGTTTTAATGCTACAAAATCACGCTGAGGATGACAAAAGTTTATATTACATTATCCCAAATTCTGTTTTACAAATTAGTATACAAAAATTCGTTCGTATTTAAATAATATACAGTTAATTTTAAGTAGCCTACTTATTAAAATCAAAGTCAAATCTATAATTAGATAGAAAATAA